CAGCCTCCGGCCTCTCCCCGTGCATGGCCCCCCCCTCCCTTCCCCTCCAGCTTCCGCTGCTCCCCGTGTCCCCCCCGACTCCCTCCCGGGGCTCCCGTGCCAGCTGGCACCGCACACCGTCCCCTCGCACGGGGACACTGCCTGTTCCTAGGCACTGCGAGGACAGGGCTGTCCCTGCCTCTACCTCCTGCCCAGGAGGTGACAGCTGAGCCCCCAGATCGCCACAATCCCTCCCACGACGCGCTGGGACAACCGCAGCTCCGCTGAGCACCCCCGACCCGCCACCACAGCCCCAACCCCTCTCACCTCTCGCACACCCGGACCGTCCACGCCGCGATGATCCAGAGGGAAATGCTGAAGACCAGCAGCACCGTCCCGGGGCAGATGGTCATGAGAGTCTTCATGACGAAGCGGGTGTTGAAGTTGATCTTGTTGAGCGCCCCGATGCTGCGCGAGGAGGCGTCGGTGAAGAGCTTGCTGTGCAGCAGCATCACCCGAGCGATCAGGTAGAGGCGCAGGAACATGGGGATGGACAAGATGATGTCCACGTCCGCCTCTGCCCGAGAAGGCGTGTAGGAGAAAGCCAGGCGGGCTGTCCAGAAAAATTTGTACTCCCCAGGGATGGGGTGTATGGCACAAACCAGCATCTCCAGGCTGATGTAGAGGATGCGTTCATACGTCATCGCTATCCGCCAGTCGTCGGCTCCGTTGTCGATCACAAAGAGCTACCAGGAGGCAAAACCACAGAGTTACCGGTGGCCCCGTTCAATCCTGTCCCACCAGCACCCCGCCACGTGCAGTGGGGACAACCCACAGCAGAGCCCCGTGGGGCCGGGGATGGCTTCGGCCAGGAGAGCTGATTGGGTGGGGAAGGAAAAGGTGGGAATGAGCCTTCACCATCCCCTCCGCTGCTCTGCCTGCGTATTCAGGGGATGGTTACGGTGCTGGGGACACCCCTGAAAGCTTTAGGGTGCTCGGCCTTGAGCACACGCCCAGGCACGGCACGGGGACAGTGGCTGGCAGGAGCCCATCTCCTAGCCCAGGGCACGGAGACGGACGAGCCGTGGTGCCGCCGGGCACCGGCATGAGCCAGCCCACCCCCTCCACTCCTGCCGGCGCTGCACCAGTGTCACCGACAGCCACCACGCCCCGAGTGCCAGTGCGACTTTTGGTAAAGGAACACCACAGCCAGAGCACCCGGCCGCTGGCAGAGATGGGATCTGGTTGTCATAGCAACCGCCGGTTCATCCGGGGTACCAGCTCCTCTCCCACCGCCGGCGATGGAGTCGGGGTCTCTGCAGGAGCTAGGGGGACGCCAGCTCGGCCTGGCCAGACCCCTGGGGGTCACCCACCCCATCCTGCCTCGGCGGATCCCTCCCAAGGCCACCACCGGTGCAACGGGGACACCGGTGTCACCTACAGCAGCGGGGACGCCCTCGGGGCCTCTCCGCAAGCAGCTCTTGGCAAAGGCACCGCTGGGAAGGGATCCAAGGGGGACGTGGCAGCTGGCACTATTGTCACCAGCGTGTCCTCGACCCTGCAAAGTGCAGAGTGGCACCGGCTTGTCCGGGGGGACCAGGAGGTCTTGTGGCCGCTCCAGACCGGGCGGGGGTTAGCAGCACGGCCCCGGCTGGCGTCGTGCCTGGGAACGACCCTCCCGCCGTGCCCGAGGCCCCGGGGCACCTGCACAGCCGCCTCGCGGGCACGGCACGGCACACGGGGCTCTCCCCGGGGACGGCAAGAGCCGCCGGGACTGACTCACGGAGCGGCCGTCCCCGGCCACCTCCCTTTCTGTTTGGAAAGCTCCGCTCCTTTTAGCTGCTTTGTTTGAGAAATTGTTTATAAAAATGCTCCAAGCTGTCAAGGGAGATCCTCAGGCATTTAGCAAGCTGACAGCCCATTCCTTCCTGGAAAAGGGTGTTAAAAATAAACAAATTAGCAAGAGGAAAAAGGCAGGGAGCCTTTTGACTGCGTGTGGGGTGTTTGCAAAGGGCCAGGTCAGGGAAGGGAAGGAGCGAGGGGGGGATTCAGGCAGGTTCCCCCTGCGCCAGCCCCTCTCAGCCCTGCACCTGCGGTGCATTGCTGCGGGTTTCCATGGAAACCCCAGCGCAGTCCAGCGGTACCCGACAGGGCATCCCCAGCATCCCCAGGACCGGTTCTGGCAGGGGAAGGAGCGAGCCTGTTGGTCACCCCAGCTCCAGACAAGCAAAGCACAATGAAAGCAGCTGAGAAGCTGCGTGGGGGAAAAAAAATCTTCACCTAATTAAATGCACAAAGAATCTGGGGCACCCCAAGAGCAGGGGGAGGCTGTGCCCCCTCCAACCCCCCCCAGTTGGAGCTGGCAGCCTCGCCAGCACCGCACCACGTCACCCGCCGTGGCCATAGACGTGGTGCTGGTGGGGGACCCCCTGTTCTGCACCACCCCGGGGCACCTGCAGACCCTGCCCCGGACTGCACCGCAGAGACATCACCGGGCACCGAGCGGTGCCACCGGCAGCGGGTCGGGCCCTGCCCGTGGGCGCAGGGAGGGCGAGGACCCGCCGGCGCTGCTGGCAGCTCCCTGCACCCGCTCAGCCTAACGAGTGACATGCAATTAGCAGTAGCTCGGGGCCTTGCGGCAGAAAGCAGAGCTGGGAGGCTGGCGGGGGGGACGGGAGGATCTTGCTCACCTGCAGGGCTGGCTGGTGGGCAACGGGGCACAGGGACACCACGGGGACCCGCCACGGTCCCAGCCCGCTGGGTGACGGTGTGGGCAGACGGGGATGGGACAGGAGCTGGACCCAGGACCCCAGGCACAGCGATGCCCCAGCCCCGGAGAAACCGAGACACAGGGAGGGCTGCAAACGTCCTAAAGGACTTGGCAATTAACGCAATTAATACTGAGGGAAGAAGCTGAAGCTGCTGTCGAGGCTTTCCCGGAGGCCGGGGAGGTCTGGCAGTGCCACGGCACGGTGAGCGCAGCCCCCCCTTAGGCAGGAGGGACAAGGAGCTGAGGATTTCCAGCTCTGCCAGCCCCGCTTCCATCCCCGGCCGGATTATCAGCAATCCCTCCATAAGCACCAAGGAGATAATAGGGCGATCAGCGGCCAGCCCGGCTTTGTCTGGAGCAAATCAAGTCAAACCGATCTCATTTTCTTCCCTGCCAGCGGAACCAGCGCAGCCGGATCGTGGTGCGATTCGGCGTCCGCGGCGGCACGGCGCGTGCGCTCAGGGAGCGGGACCCACAGCAGGGATTG